GATATCCGGCTTTAATTGCACCAACAGAAGGAGAGAAAAGAAAGAAGGCAATTCTTAGAGTGACCTAGTTTAATATATGAAGATATGAAGAGATTTCAAAGGACCAGCCTTGTATTTACATGACACAACCAGAATATAACATGATTATTGAAGTGTACCAGAACTGGCTCTGCACCAGTGTCGTTAAAAACAAGTGCTAAATTTATTTTTGATGTAAACCTTCAAGCCCTCTCAATCTGCACAGAGCAGAGAAGGAGGTCAGGAAGTCAGACAAAGTATTACCAGAGAGCATCAAGTCAATTTTCAAAATAACAGAACAGACTATATTCTCTCCTGAAATGATTCAAAGCAAAGTGCATCAGAGACGTGATGACCTGAGGTCTGCGCTACGAAGCAGGATTTGGGTTTATCCAGGTAACTTCAAGGTTAATCCCGGGTTTTTTCAGCGTTACAAAGGCAGTTCACACCTTACTGGGTGCATCTCCATGGTAACTTATGCTGCAGACCTGATCTGCTCTGGAGGAGGTTATGCTCCAGATTAGAGATCAACAGGTAGAAAATCACCTCCTGTTGACCGATCACTTCCCTGCAAAAATAGCATGGCCATTTCTAGAAGATCCCTCAGACATCTGTGCACGGAGTGTAGGAGGGTTGAAAGAAATATAAATTCTTCGATGAATTTTCTTTTCCTGATGGTTCATACTATGATCTCAAATGCTCCATTTCCCTAGCAATTTATAAAGAAATTATTGGTCAAGGCTTTTGCACAGTACTGCTTATAGTGCTTATTTTTACAGGACACAACAGCATCTGAACTGGGACTCAAACTGGCAACCATTGGATTGCCCACATATACATACACATATATATACATACACACACACACACACACACACACACACATACATATATACACACACATATATATATATATATATTTGTATTTTTTTTCTTCTCGCTGTGCCATATGACTTTTAACATTTTTGAAACAGATGTCTATATATAAAAACCATCTATTTTTTCCAGATTGTAATTCTTGGTGAAATGATGCAAAACTCAATGACAAACATAAACATAAAAAGATGCTCCTGCTGTTGATCAGAAGCAGGTCCTGCTGTCTGGCACAGGCAGTCGCAGCTTTTTAGCATTTTGGGAACGAACTAATGGCTGAGCCTCCCGTAAATGTCAAAACAAAAGCAGACATCTGGATATGAAATAAAGCAAATACCATGTCCAGCCACACTGATTTATTGAATGCCAGTTACACACACACACACACACACACACACACACACACACACACACACACACACACACACACACAGACTGAAGACATCAAACTAATTTGTTCTGACATTTTTAAAAACCGTTTTCATTGTCAAATGCACAAACAGCCAACCGAGTAGAACAAAGCCAGACAAATCACAGAAGGCTGACAACACTGCAGGGTCAGAAGTGTTTCACAGCTAAAGTTTGAAAGGGAGAATAAGATTTCAGCCATATGTCATAAAAAAGAGAGAATATAAAAAGGTTTACTCGTAAGCTTCCTGGGATATTAGTTGTGCAGAAAACAAAATGTCGATAAACACTTCCTGCGTGAACCTATACTGCTGTTTCTGAGCCAGGAGTCAGTCAACTAAGCCTGTGATTTCTGAAGGAAAATGTCAGGATATTTATCAGTGAGCTAAATGACAAGAGAAAGCATGTGAGTCGTACAGCAAGAGTTCAAAATTAAACTTAAAGTTCGCAACTTGCCATATTACTTGATTCTGATTGAAGCAAGCCACTCCTGTTACTGAAAATGACCAAGTCTGCGGTTCAGAGCAGGTACAGTCACTGAGAGGGAGCAAGAGAAAATCTCTGCAGGGGACTTAAGATAAAGGCTGCAAATTAGCTGTTGTCACCAAGCACCAGTGTGCAGGACTGAAAAGTGAAACCTGTGCTTAATGGTCACTCGAGGCTGGCTCCAGATGTGACTCAATCCCCAAAGACTCCCACATTAAATTGACCAGCTTTACAGCAAAAATGAACTCATTTACAGCGCGATATAAAAAAATATAAGGCTTTGCTCTCCATATGCATAATTTCCACATTCATAAAAACAGTGTTTGTGTGTGGGACGGGAGGGGAGTAATTGGAGTAATTGCATTTACTGAACTGGACCTTTGGATTGTGTTTGTGCTATTAGTGCTTTTTGGAGCATTTTAAGTGGAATTATCTAACAAATAATGTGTCTTGCTGTGCTGGTACGGGGAGTCCATCCAGCAAGTGTGCAGTGTAGGGCTTTTTTAAAATCTATGCACACAGTATCAAAAGAGAAGCATGGAAGAAGACAGCGCTGTGTGGTTTCTTCTGTAAACATCCCCTTGTAGACAGTTGGTCACTAGTGGACATTCCAGTTGCCTAGGTAACCCCGTTGACTATCATGACTCAGAGACTGAGGACCCAAATGCAGACTCATGAAACGAATTGACAATGGACCTTTTAATAGACCTTTTAATGGATCCAAACAAAATTTTAATAGCTTGAAGAGGCAAGCAGAATCCAAAAGCTTCAAAAGCACAAGGGAGGACAAAGGGAAGCCAGCATTATTTATAGACACACAGGGTAATCAGGTAATGGTTGACAAGATGCAGCTGAACATAATCAGGACAATCAGAGAAGAGGAGAGAAGTAAAACAACACCATGAAGAACAAACAGACAGGAAAACCAATATCAAAACAGGAAGTCAGGGAACAACAGGGACAAGAATGAACTTTAAACTGAAGGATGAGATTAATTAATGAGAGTAATTAATGTCATAAAAACACACACAGAAACTTGTGCTGAAGATAAATGAGAACTCAAGGGTTGAAGATAAGTAGTCAATGAAAACCCAAGCCTCAACTATAAAGGTTACCCACAGGGCATAGCAGTGACACGTCATGACCTATGGGTTACGTTATCTGCAGTACATCACTGCTGTCAAGTGCCTTTGGAAACAGCTGTGATTGGCTGTGAGAGACTGCAGTTGATGGTTCCTGAGGTATCGCTGACAGGTCTCTAGGCTTGTGTAACTTAGACCGGTTACACGCGTGGCTAAAAAGTGTTTTGCTGCTGATAACACTGCACCCTCTCATCCATATATGAACACTTCTCCCTCCAAAAAGCCAATAAAGAAAAAGCCAAGACATGGAAATGTAATTATTTGAGCTGAGCTGGTTTGTTCCACAGAACTGAAGTTTTCGTTTGCTGCCGTCTTTTGTCTTTTTGTCTCCTAAGGCATTTTGTTTTCGATAAATACACCAGGGCATACATACTTGAATTGCAGTGTTGAATTATTCACTCAGTGTAGCCTTGGAAGGATATCTCTTCTTCCTCAATGAAAAGTAAGTTATTCAACACATTATAAAAGCTGAAGCACAATTTTGTAACTCAAATTGCGGCCATGAGATAATCTCTTATTGTGCTGTGCGTATCTTCAAACACAATCATGAATTCTCACCTAAACATCACTCAAAAATCAGATCAGAAAGACACAGACAAAGCGTGTTTGTGCAGGCCTAGAGATAAACCCGTGTGATGCTCTGAAACATGAGCAGCCATCAGGTTTGTGAGTCATCCTGCCTCTCCAGCTGAGGTATCGATGAGCTGCCGACATGTCCATCTGAGCGGAAGGAAATTGTCAAACTCAGCTGGCAGCCGTCTGAAGCTGATCCCGGCAGACAAAGCTGCTGCTGTTCTGAGTTTATTTTTAAATGTTCACACTGATGTGAAGGTTACCGCAAAAAATTAACTGGAAACTTATCAAGCTGATTGAAAGTGCCCATTACGGGACTCTCTGTGTGATTTAAATTGTTTAAAGACATGAACTCAGTAATCTTGAACAAAGCTGATGGACTGCCCTGTTAACAGTTATTCCCTCCCCAAAGGGAGGGAATATGTTATCGGTTCTGTCTGGTTGTCTGCTTGCTACCCGTCTAGGCTCCACAGTTTTCAAGATATCATTTTCAAATTGTGTGATGATAGGTACCAATAACAGCTTGAACTGATCTCATTTAGGTGAAAACTGGATCAAGATCACACCAAATATGAAAATCTGTAAAAAGTTTATATTACCCACAATTTTTTACCGATCATCTTCAAACTTCAAACAACAGCATAATAGACCTTTGCTGACACGAGAAGCTAGGTTGGTTAAGTATTTCACCGTGTCCTTCATCGTTAGCGCTCAAGATAAAAGTTGACCTTGAAAAATTGTTTCAAGAAACCATATTAAGTAATATATCATATGAAAGGACATAAAGACAACTGTACAACACACTTTGTATTTTTTCAATATGATTCCCTGCAATGTCACGATGATGCAATAAGAGGCTGGCATCATCATACTGTAAAAAAAACATAATAAAGATCAAAGCTTTAGTACAGCCATTGCCCTTTAGGGATAGCTGTGCTCTCTGACTGCAAACAGACAAGACAGTAGAACAAAATTCCTCCCAAAATAATGACAGTGCTTTTCAAAAGTAAATATAAGGAAGGATAATGTAATTAAAAGATTCAGAAAGTCTGTAAAATCTCTGTAAAGAAAACACGAGCCTGCAGAAATGTTGGTGGAGTTCAGGCCCCTACGGCAGCGCTGCCTTAAAAACAGAGCTGATTCTGTGGTGGAGATTGCTGCATGAACTCAGGAACACCTCTAAAGGCAAAACTGTCAGCAAACACAGCTCATTAAGTTAAAACTCTACCGAGTAAGGAAAAAGATGGATCCAAAAACATCTTCTTCAATGAGTCTGAGCTCGTTTAAGATGGCCTGAGGCCAAGTGGTGCGGGTCTGACCAATCAGAGTCTGAGACACTTTTTGAAGTTCATGTATCCTGTGGCCTCCAGGCTAAAGAGGAGAGGGACCATCTGGTGTGACATCAGCACAGATGAGCAAACAGTTTTGAAAAAAGAGAAAACCTGGGCAATAAATAAATACTTTGTAAATCATTTGTAAATCATTTGCTCTCAGACTCACCATGGTTGTGTCTTTCGGTGTGAGCGTTGTTCTGGGCGACGATCCTGCCGTAACTCACGGGAGGAAGCAGACAGAGCAGCAGCCACAACATCTCAGAGCCTTCTGTTAACCTATCAACACAAATAAACATTCAAATATGAGCTGGGGAAAAGACCCACTAAACAGCTAATGCTCCTAATGCACTTACTGTGAGAAAGTTTAGTTTCCATCTGATAACAGTGAAGTCTATCTAAGTGTCCACTTGTCTAAGAGTCACATGTTCAATTTTAAGGGGCATCAGTGGGTTCACCCTGCAGCTCCTCAAGTCCAAACACAACAGCTTTGCCTCCTCCAGTCATGAGACACATCACAAGGGATGAAACCCCCCTCACTTCCTCCTTTCTCCCATCAAATCAGTCCTGAACAACACCGCCGCCTCACCAGATTCCCATTAAAAACTTCATGCATTCCTAAAATTACAACTTCTTCCAATGAATTAATAAACGTATAGGAGAAAAAGCTAATTTAGATTTATCTGTTTACCTCCCAGTGTTGACAATCTTCCACGTGTTTGCAGAAGGAGCAGAAAACAAAATCTGCCTTGGTGTATGTTACACAACAATAAAACAACAGAGAAAAACACTGTCCATTGGTATGGAAGTCCATGAATGCCCAAACTGGAATGTGATAATAATTAAATGAATTTAACTGAAATGGACTTGTAATAAAAATTTAAAACTAAATAGCAAACAGACAGGTTTTGCTCATTAAATTATCCAAAAAGGATGCCCTCATCTATTTTTTTGACCATTTAACTGAATGAAATGTAACACAGCACACAAAATACTCAGTAATCATAGAATTAACTTTTTAATCCACATATTTTTAAATGGAATTTATAAGAAAAATTGTCCCTTTTTAATCATTATAAATGCAAGTAATTGCCTTTACTCTTTCCTTTTTAGCATTCTATGCAGTGACTAACTGTAAAAGCAGATGCTTTAGCCATTTGCTAATGTGTAGCATTTAGCTGTTTGGTAACACAATGCCACAAGATTCCCAGGAGAAGACATGCCAGCAAATTAAGCTGTCATGGTCCGGAGTCTGTGACTCCGTGTTTTTGTTTAGTTTATTATTATTCTGTGGTTTTGGTTACCTTGGGTGTTTGTACTTCTCTGTTTCATGGTTCATGTTCCTATGTTCGGTGTCCCCCAGTCTGTGTTAAGTTGGTGTGTTATGTCATTACGTGTATGTGTTTCCTGTTTTACTTTGAAGGTCCGTGTCTGTTCTCAGTGTGTTCAGTTTACTTTTCCCCTGTCTCGTCAGGTCGGATTACTCCCAGCTGTGCCCTCCTTTTGTGTCTCATCCCCTCGTTATCCTTCTGTGTATTTTAACCTCGTGTCTGCCTCTGTTAGTTGCTGGTTCGTCTGCGTTATTCAACCTCCGTCATTCTGTGTTTATTCCTCCGGCTTCCTGGTCATTCTCCCTGCAAGGCACCCTCGTTCGTGTTCTGGCTTTGTGTTTAGTTTTAGTTTTCCCAGTTTAGAGTTTTTACCGTTCTGTTTCTCGCCACCCTTTTTTGTTGTACTTCACCTGTTGTCAATAAAGCTCACCCTCCACTTAAGCAGTCTGCATCTTGGGTCCGTTATTAATCCACACGGCCTGCCTCGGCACCCCGTAACATAAGCCCAATATCCGAATGTGAAATGCACAGAGAAAAGCCAAAAACCCAACTCAGACTCTACAGGCCTCAGCTGGGATGGGAAATGTTTAAGTCGATGACAGAACAATTAAAAAAGACTAAACAAGCATCACTTGTTTGGAAGAGTTTTCAGGATAAAACCTCTTCTATCTAAAAAGAACAGGGTAGCATGGTTTAGGTTCACAAAGTTGCATCTGAACAAATCACAACACTTCTTTAGCAATATATTTTGGAGAGACAAGACCAAAATGGAGATGTTTGTTCACACAGCACCGCTTTTGGAGAAAAGCAAACACAGGACACCTTGCAGTCACTGAACTGACCATAAACTCATCTATATACCAAACTGTTTTAGAGTCAGATGTAAGGACATCTGTAAGGACCACCAGCTAAAGCTTGAAAACTTGGTCATGGAACAGGACAATAAACCCAAGAACAGCAGCAAATCTCCAACAGAATGGCTGAAAAAAAATGACTCGAGGTGTTGTAACGGCTCAGCCAAAGTCCATACTTCAGCCGGACCTGATTCTTCTGGTGCAACTTTAAGCAAGCTGTGCATAAAAAATTACATACAGACAACAATAAAGTGAGATACTGTTAAAGTCATACAGAAAACAATTCACTCTGATTTGGTCATGTGCAGTACAGGTGATGCTGTCTGCATTCCTGTTCACTTTGTATACTACCCACAGAAATAGTCTGACTATTCTGCATTAGTTGGACGTATTAGTGATGGGCAGGAGAAAGAGAGCACCATGAAGTGGTCGAGGAGGAATCATCTGCTTATAAATGTGATCAGGATGTTAATGCGGTGGAGGAGTGCAAGTACTGTGGCATGCATGTTAACATAAGGCTGAACAGTTGGACCAAAATGTATACAAAATGAGGCTGTAAAGCTCCGTATCCTCTGGAGATCCTTCAATGTGTGCAGCAAAATGCTGGAGATTTTCTATCACTCAGTTGTGGTGAGCTCAGTGTACTTTGTTGTGATCTGCTGGAGAAGCAGCATTGGAGCTGGTGACACATACTGACTGAATAAACTGATTAGGAAGGCTGGCTCTGTGATTGATTGAAGACTGAAAACTTTTGAAGTTGAGGTGGGGAGGTCACTGACCAAACTGTTATCCACCGTGGATAATCCTGACCACCCTCTGCACCACTTACTGCAGATAGTGGTTAGGAGTGAAGGTCAAGGTCAAGGTAACTTTATTTATACCCATAGGCAAGGTAAATTTGCTTTACAGAAAAAATGACAGCATTTGGAGTGAAGCACCTTCTCTAACAGACCATATGTTATCACCAACTATAATTGAATTATACCTGTGTGACCTGGCAGAGAGGCATCTGCCAGCTATTATTATAGTACTTGTACTACTATGTTACTATAATTTTATTTTGACTTCTGTATCATTACTTCAAGCTGTTGCTGTTAAAGGTGGCTCTGTATGCTACTTAAGCATGGCACGTATTTTTTTTCCATGTCTGCATTGTGACATTTTGAAGGACCCACCGAAGGATCTGAGGCTGTGAACTAACTTGTATGGAATCAACATTTCTGACAGACCCAGACCCAGTGCTAACATGTACATGGAGCCAGAGGGCAGAAAACAAGAGGAATTGGTAATTCAAATTGGTTGAATTCATTTTCATTTCTATAGTGCCAATTCACAGCAATTCATCTCAAAGTACTTTATATTGTCAGGTAAATACCCTAGAAATAAATCCCCAAATCACACAACCTCCTACAACCAACCACTTGGCTACGATGAGAGAAGAACTGAATTTTAAAATGAAGAAAGCCCCAGCAGAAGCAGGCTCAGAGAAGGGCAGCCATATGGTGAGAGGAAAGGAAAGTGAGCAAAGAGAGATTGGAGAAAAAGCAAACTAGAGGAGAGAGGCCCAACCTTTACTAATAACTAATAATTGCAGAGTGGTGTACACAACGTAGAGAATGACAAGAGTTTAGCGAAGAAGAAATGGTCAGTGCATCATGGAAAGCAAGAGTATATCCTTCAGTGTGCATATTTGTTTAATATGAAAGGTGAAGGACATATTCTGGTCAAAAATGACTCTAAGATTCTTCACAGTGTTACTGGGAGCCAGAGTAGGCATCTGGTTGGATACCATATTTCTAAGATTATAGGGCTGAGTATAAAAACTTCTGTGCCTGAATTTAGAAACAGGAAATTAGAAGTCTTCCAAGTCTTATGTCTTTAAGACATTCCTGTAGTTTAATAGCTAATTTTTGTGTGTTAAGATGGGTATCGTCTGCATAGCAATGAAAATGTATGCAGATTGATATTATGCTGTCTGTGAAAACCAGCAAGAAACTGCAGATCTCTGAACTAGTTAGTGGTGACTTAGTAACTTTGTTTGTAGCTGTACTTATTTTTTAGAGAAATAAAGTCAAAGTCTGGGCACTAGACCTTGGTCTGTAAAATCCAAAATTGGTTGTTTCAAATTAGCATTTGAAGCTGGACTACCCACTAAACTGACAAAACAACCTTCGCAGAACAGATATTGGACATATTTTTGGATATTGAGTCTAAAATATTGGCACTGTTTTGAAATTTGAGGGATTTTTGCCCATGTGTAAGGTAAGATACTGACAATTTCTTCTTTTACGGCTCAGTCTGATGGGTTCATTTTCCCACAGCCAATATTACATGACTTAAAGTCAGCGGACTTCTTAACTTAGGCTTAAATATAACTCCAAATAGTTAAAGATGCATTACAAACACATCTTCTGAACATTAAAAAAAGAAAAACTTGGTGTAAATTCACTTTCAAATTGTGGATGATTTCCAAGTTGCTGTCTTTTGTTCTCCTCTGTAACTCTAACAACTGCTGATGCTCATTCGCTCCAGCTTACATCAGATCTTATTTATCTTTCGAAAAGTGAATTACCCTGCAATGTTTGCACGACCCACAAAGTGGTTTAATAGTACTTACTGTCACCAGAATCCCCAGAGACTAGTCAAACCATCTGGATGAAAAGATTAAAACACTGTTGGAGGGACTTTGATGTTTCTAGAAATAAAGTGCTGCAGTATTTAGACCTGTCCCCTCACAAAACATGATTTTTTAAATCAGAACATATCGTTGCCGTGACACTGACCTTTAGGTTGCTGTGTTCGATAACATCAACGATATCAGATATTAGAGGGTCTGCTCAAAGCTCATTACTTTAATCAGCTTACTCCACTGAACTGTTTCCTCAGAGCCTACTGAGCATGTGCAAGAAGTCATAGATGCACATTTACACACACTGCCGAAGGATCAGGAGAGTGGACTTATTGATATGTTTTGGTGGTTTTCTCTGCAGAGGTAAAAACACAAGTCATTCTCAAGACGTGCTGTGATCGAGAGGCAAAAAGAAGATAAACGTTTTCTGTCATTTCTATGTCTTTCTATTGAGAATGAGGGTCT